CCATCCTAGGAGAAGGATTCTGACCCTGAATGTCTTTTCCATGTGAGCCATGAGAGTGGAAGGAAGGGATGTCCTGAGCTCCTGCTGGGACTCTGCAGTCTCAGTTCTTAGGGATATATCCGGGCCGGAAAACCAGAAGCCTCTGCGCTTGCCTTTGTGCCAGCAGAATCCTATCAGCGAGGTCACAGTGAGTCATTCCAATCGCAAACTGCTTCTGAATAAAATAACTTCAATTTAAGCAGAAATTATTTAAAATTCATGTATTCCTTCTTCCTCTTTCTGAGAGCAGACTCCATTTAAAACAGGTGTTATCTCTATTTCAAATCAGACAAAAAAAAAACAAAAATATCTAGAAGAATCCTATCCTCTACTTCTTCCTAATGCAGAGCCTGCTCTACATCCTCCTCTCCATGCCCACAGTCAAAATTTATGATAGAATTATGTGGGCTAACCAGGAAAAAAACACAAAACCTCCATTATGCTGAACTTTAAAAACAAGCTAAGAAAAAAAAAAAATAACTGAAAGGATAACAGGCTAAATAGAATATCCTTAATTTGTTTTGCTGAAGGAGAAAGCACAACACTGCTTTTTAAGATGTTCAGAGTTAGGGTTCGGAATTAACAGTGATCATGAAAGATTCCCTCTTTTAGATAATTATCACCTGAGAAAGGTGTCTCCATGCCAGTTAACACTCAAGCTCATCTCTTCAAACTGTATTTTTTCTTTTTTTCTTTCCTTTAGAGAAAGAGAGATTATTACACATGGATTATCAAATTAAAAATAAATATACCTTGAAGATCCAACACTGCGATATACACCAGATTATAAATTATCATACATTCTCTTCAAATTCTTAGATTGTTCCTTATTAATAAACATCCTTACTGTGTTTTCAGGCAGTTTTTTCCAGCTGTTTATTTATACTTTATTATCCATTTAAATTCCTATAGCCTTGTTTGTGAAAACAAATGAAATATAGATGTATTTATAAAAACATACCAAAGAGCATTTATGTAAATAAATGTCCCTGCAATGATAGTAAAATAAATATTTGTGTTTGAAGACAATTGACTATTTTTCTACAGGAATTTAATTTCTATGGGAATTAAAACATGTTTTTGAGAAAAGTCAACTTTTTATGGATAAAAACACAACAACAGTATTGGGACAGGCAGCCAAAACTATGATATATTTAGAATAGAGCAAAAAGAACAAATCCAGCATCCAACATACACAGTTTCCTAACATTTAGACCATATTTCTACATAAAAATTATCAGATTATAGATAACATCTATAGCAGCATCTCTCAAAAGAGTAGCCCAGATGAAAAATCAAGTATCTCACCGTATATACACAGTTTGGCTACTTGGTTTTAAAACTCAGTTTTTTAAAGCAAAGTTGCACTTGTGGACCTTGCACACCATACATACATCCTTGTTGGTCAAATAAATATGGCTTTAGGAAGTGAGAGAGTATTTCTCTTACTCAATGAAGTTCTTTTCTGCAACTACATTGTACTGTGGAAAGGAACTGCAATTTAAATGTAGGTTTACTAATTAAATAATTATCCTGACAGAACTGAAGTAGACTCCTCTTCTTCCTATCAGTTCCTCACCTTCTCAGTCTCTCCCAGGAAACAGTAAGAAGGGAAAGGTAGGTTCAGTTTGCAGATCATTAACAATGTTCCAGTAAAGGTATGAACTCCTCCATATAGGATTTTAGTCTAATGAGAATAGTCTAGCTTTTCTTGGATTGAGGACACGTGGGATGCCAAGAGTATCTGAGACTCTTTAAGCAGCTTCCTATCTCTGGCTGCATTTTTCCTGCCTCTGCACTGCACCCCTGCATTTTGCCACTACCACTTGTGCAAATTGAGCAGGATCAAAGAAACTGAGCTGGCCGAAAAAAATCAGGGAGAAGAGGGGTACTGGGAAAGGTTATTTTCCTGGAGGATTAATTTTGGAGTTCACCTTCCAGCTGCACAAACAGCACTAGCTGACAGCAGAGAAGGGCCAGGGACTGTGAGAGTGAGCAGGAGGTGGGCAGAGGCAGCTGAAACAGCCAGGGCTGCTGCAGGGAAACCCTCCTACCACTTGAGAATCTCCTGCAGTAGTCCACTGAATTGGATAGGACAATACTTGCATGATTTTCAGCCTGTGATAGATAACCTGCCCAGTGATTGCTTACTGGCAGAAGGGTGCTCCGTTAGCTCTTCCCCAGGTTTCCTAGACTCCTGCAGGAGACATGGCAGTAAAACTTTCTGATAGAAGGAACATTCTGATCACAAACTGGTAGCATACACACCCATTCAGAAAGGGCTATTATTTACAGTCATTCTATTAAAAAGACCTTACTTTAAAAATGACACAGGTACATCAAAACACTACTGGTAAAAATAGAGCCATGTAACATTAATAACATTCAGTTGCCAAATGTCACTAACATTTCTATTTCCTTGACCACCTGCTAGTCCAGACACCCCTGCCAAAAAAAAAAAAAAAGAAAAAAAAAAAGAAAAAAGAGCTGTAACATCTGTGCATACAACTTAAGTATTCCTAAAGTTACAGTACATGTGACTTCTATGACGTCACCACATCAACATTTTTTTTGTTAGGAAGATCTACATATTTACTTGTCCCAGGCTGGAACAACCAGCCATTTCGTTCCTGAGAGGTTTGTATAAATTCAGAAAAAATCAGTGAATTTTTAACTAGAACAACAGATACATGCTCAATATGACGTATTTGTATCAGTAGCCTGATAATACTGAATTGATATTATCTCAAACGCTCATAATTTCCTATTTTGTTTAGAAAGGATCATTAGCTCTTAAATGTAACAGCATCTGATTATTCTGCCTTGGGCCAGTGGTTTATCTGTCACAGAAATTATCATTTTAATTATTTTAGTGTTTGTACTATCCTAACATAGTACAACCCAAATAGACAACATGATGTATGGTGGAAAGGTGTGAGAGAATGAACTAAGAGAAACTCTGAAGAGCTGCAATCATAAAAATAAGCAGTCCTAGTAATACCAGGAAGTTACAGCTAGTCCATATATTTCAGATCACTCTTCAATCAGTATAACACACCAGTTTTCCTTCAGCAAATGTATTTATTGACGTAACTTTTTATAACCATGTACAGCATCTATGCATCTCCCATTGGAAGAATATCCAGCGATAGAGCTAATGTTAGTGTAACACACAGCTTCACCTAGCAATTCTCATTACATTTCTAACGACAAACAGTGGTGTACTCCATAGATGGTCATAAATGGCCAAAGCACCCAGATGATCAAAAGAATAGAAATGTAAGACTCTGATAAAAAAATAAAGAATGATTCTGGATTCCTTCGCTTTAAATTTTGTTCAATGCTGTGTTCTGTAAGCGCTATGAATTTGATTCCACATACCAACAACTGATCTTGGCCTTTGATATTCTCCAAAACTGCTGCCTGTCAAAATGAAAATCTGAAGGGCTTTTTGCTGCTGACTCAGGAATCAAACTAAAGATAACTCCGAATTTTTCTCTCCGTTTAATAGGCGAAGGTCAAGACAAACTATCTAGTCCCTTTCCACTCCCCCTGATTGAATAAAAATCCCTCCAAACTTTAAAGTCTTGTTCTCTCCATTCAGCCACTGAATTCCAATTGAAGTTAGCAGTTACCAGGGTCTTTTGTAAACAGTTGATTGTCTCAAAAGAAATAAAAACTCCAAATTGTCTACTTGCAATTATGGTAATAAAGAACTTGTAGTCACAAACATCTCGTGTCAGTGATGAATGTGTGAGATGAATGTTTCCAAAGACCACCAATTACCTCCTTCCAGCCATTCAGTTCAATGAGAGTTCATCTGAGGTTGTACATTAAATTCAAAGGAAAACAAGTAGTATCAGTGGTCTCAACAATTTACCAAACTCCATCTAGAACATTTGCATTTAAAGTGTAACCACAGTTTGGACATTTTTAATTAGTTCATTTTTAGACCACACAGAGAGAATTATTTATGTAAACTAAGCCACCATATCTAATAGTAACATAACAACATTCTGTAAATATTTAAGAAAGTAAAACTCCAAGAAAGTAGAGAGCAATTGATCATAAAATGATTAGCACTGCTCTACTAAGAGAAACAAAATTCCAATCAAAAGGAAAAACAAAAACAAAGCACACATACAGCTTAAACTTAATATACTACTGCACAAGAGTTTAACTTTAGTACTGCTCACTCAGCTACACAACACACAGAATCTAGATTAATATACAAAAATGTTTTATTTCACAGTGAGGTACATAAAGCTTCTAACTTTAGTAGGCTAAGGCTAAGAAAAGATTGCCTGTTATGATAAAGAGTTTCACATTTCTGACATATCCATACCAATTACTGTGAAGAAAGGCACCAATATTATTTATTCATTGACAGTTTGCTTCTGCATCCACTCCTTGAGGAATGAACATGGATTATCTGAGCGTCAGTGACCTACTGACCATCATGGACCCAGAGAACTAAAACACATTTGTGTGTGCAAGTACCCAACAGCATTTATTTAATAAAAAAAAAAATCAAAAAATCGCTCGTTTGTAAACATATTACAAAATTCTGTTAGTTTTTTCCTAGTGGTGTCAGCAATATATTCCTGTAAAACTAACCAGCTGTATTACTGTTTCCCGTTTACAAACAAATAAGAAAGCATGCTTGCGCACATTAAATTGTCTCACATTTGAGTTAAAAGGCACAACATCCAAACCATCCAGCATGATACGGGCATTCCCAGCCCTCCGACTGACCTCCGGGCTGTATGGTTCGAGAGTAACAACACAGAAGAAAGACATTTAGTACAAATTGCTTATTAAGAAAGGCTTGCGCCTTGAAATGTCAGTTCAGACCATCCTTGTGCAGGGATGGGATGCTGTCAACTGCAGTCTGGGAAAACCACCTGTAAAATGTGACTCTTAAATGTATGTTGGCATACATTTGGCAGAAGAATTGGTAGTTCCCTCACACCAAGGCACGGTTAAGGTCACAGATGAGTTGTTTTAATGGGTTAGTGATGGTTTGCAAGGAAACAGACCTCGAAGGTGAGCAAACAAGCCCTCCACTGCCAATAGTCCCCTGCTTGGGCTATGAGCCAGGTGGTGGGTGAAGGCAGCGGCAACACCGCAGCTCTCCCGCTTGCAGGCCGTGACCTTAGGGAGATGCACCGCTCCCTCACCGACCAATGGTCGCCTCATCCGCTGCAGCTCCAGGCAGGCCAGATGGGAGGCAGGCCTTCAGGCACAGGGCAGCCGGGAGCTGTAATACAGCAGCTCAGTCGGCGAAGCGCTGCAGCAGGTGGTCATCAGCATGCCGGGTGCTGCCACTGTCTACAAAGCGCTCGCAGGGGAACTCTATGAGGTCGGCCTCGCTGAGTGCACAAGCAGCACCACGGGGTGGACGGTGGGACTGGAAGCCCGAGAAGTCGGCGGACACACCGGTGCCCATGGAGCGGAGCGGCCGGCGGGTGGAGTAGAGCTGCCGTACATGAACGGGAGCCGCCTTCCGCCTCCGCCGCCCCAGCACCTTCTTCCGAAGCAGGCGGGAGGCCCAGGCGGCCAGCGCAGCAAAGAGCAGCAGCGCGTTGACCGCCAGCAGCACCAGCGTGAGGAGCTGCTGGTCGGGGCCGCGGGGCCCGCCCGCCGCCGCCGCACCGCCCTCGGGCAGGGTGACCAGCCCCGCACAGTGGTCCCGCGGCGCCACTGGGCACACGCGGCCGCCGAGCACACCCTCGACGCACACAAGGTAGGGGGTGTCCGGGCGCAGCTCTCGCAGCGTGGCGGCTGGCTCGCCGCGCTCCGGCAGATAGACGAAGCGCTGGAACTTGACGGCCGCGCCGAAGCGGTCGAAGAGCAGGCGGAAGCGCGCGGGGCCCAGCAGGCGGGGGCTGCGGTGAGGCCGCACTGCCCAGCGCACCGTCACCGAGCTGGAGCCCACCGCCTCCACCGACAGGTTGCAGAGGAACAGCTTGTTGAAGTCGCACGGGTCAGACACCAGCGGTGGCACGCCGGAGGATGGCACAGAGCGGGGCTTGCCACCGCGCCGTGGCCAGGCCACGCTGGGTGGTACCGGCCCCCAGGCCTTGGGGCGAGCAGGCGGCGGCGTGGGGCTGGGAGCCTCCGCCGCGCCCTGTGATGCCGCCGTCTCGTCTTCAGGCGCCTGCAGCAGGCGGGCAGTGGAGGCAGACGGAGGAGGCGCGCCCGGGGGCCCACGAGCCAACCCCGCGGCCCTGCTGCTATTGGCACCCAGCCCCTCAGCGGCCGGCGGTGGGGATGCGGAGAGAGAGGCGCCGTCGAGGCAGGCGCTGCCGTCGGGTGGCGGCGGCAGCTGGCTGTCCTGCAGGTAGTCGAGGTACTTGCCAGCCAAGGCAGGCGGCAGGTGGCACTGCACGAAGACGGTGAGCAGGCGGCCCTGCGAGTGCCAGGCCCCCAGCCAGTGCTTGAGGCCGCGGAGGCGGCAGTCGCAGCTCCAGGCGTTCCCTTCCAGCTCCAGGCGGTAGAGAGCCGGGCTGGAGGTGAAGACCTCACCGGGGAGCGTGGCCAGTGCGTTGTCTCGCAGGCTGAGCTCCCGCAGGTGGCCGAGACGACCAAAAGTGGTGGCGTGCAAGGCAGTCAGCGCATTGCGGCTCAGATCCAGCACCTCCAGGCTGCTGAGCGGCTCCAGAAGCGTGGCAGGAATATGGCTCAGCTGGTTACCCTCGAGGCGCAGCTCTTTCAGCGAGCCCAGCCCCGTGAAGGTGTCTGGTGCCAGGTGAGCCAGCCGGTTGCCACTGAGTGAGAGCTTGGCCAAGGCGGACAGGTGCCGAAAAAGCCCCCCTGCCAGCTGCTGCAGGCTGTTGCTGGCCAGCAGCAGGGTGTGCAGGGAATGCAGCGGGCCAAAGAGTTCCGGGTGGCGAAGGGAGCTCTGCTGGTTCCCAGAGAGGTTAAGGAAGCGCAGTCTGGCCAGGCCGGTGAACGCCCCACGGCTCAGCCAGCGGATCCGGTTGGACTCCAGATGCAGGTAGAGCAAATTGGGCAGCCCCGAGAAGGTGGAGTCGCCCAGCGAGCCCAGCTCGTTGCCGTCCAGGCGCAGCTTGACCAGGCTGCTGAGGCCAGAGAAGGAGGCGGCACTGAGGCGGCCAATCTCGTTGGCATTCACGTAGAGGATGCGCAGCTTGGCCAGAGCACTGAGCGTGCCGGGGGCCAGTGTAGGCAGCAGGTTGTTGCCCAGGTAGAGCTCCTCCAGCCGGCCCAAGCGCTCAAAGGCCTTGGGATGCAGCGAGCGGATCCGGTTGTACTGCAGGTCCAGGCGCTGGAGCCCGGCCAAGCGGTGGAAGTCAAAGGCAGAGATGTTTGCGATGAAGTTGCCTCCCAGGCTGTAGGTGAGCACATCCTGGGGCTCGGCGGCCTTGGGCACGGAGCGCAGGCCCCGGTTGGTGCACAGGAGGTGCTGGTGCTGCTGGCAGTCGCACGGCTCGGGGCAGATGGGCTCGGCCGCGGGCAGCAGCAGGAGGAAGAGCGCGACGGAGCCCCAAGGCACCATCAGGCGGAGCCGGCACCGCGCCCCCATCCCGGGACGAGCCGAGGGCTGCTTCCCCCGGCGGCTTTGTGTCCCTCCGGCATCCCACCGCTCCCCGGCGGCTGCTAATCGGCCCCTCCTCTGCTCCGCTCCGGACCGGGCTCCGCGCTGGGCGGGCGGGCGCCGCGGCCGGTGCGAGTCGCGGTGCTCGACACCATGGGCTCCCGTCACCGGAGCCGGCCCGGGCGGGGAGCGGCGGGAGGGCGGCGGGTGCCGGGCTCTGCCCGGGGCCGGTGCCGCAGAACAGAGCCGAGCGGCCGCCCGCTGCTCCGCCGGCTCTACCGGGGGCGGAGGGGGCGGGCGGAGCGCGGGGATGGGGCGGGCGGGGCGGGGGGAGCCGGAGAAAGACGAGCTCAGAAAGTGACCGAGAAAAACTCAGCGGAAATTCGTACTTCCCACACTGTGCCCTGGGGGAGCGGAGGATCGGATGGAGCGGGGGAGATGGAGCGCGGCAGGGAGGGAAGGGAAGGGGGCGGGAGCCCGCGGCCCGTCCTGGCTCGGCCCGGCCCCGGCAGCAAGCTGGGGCCAAAGTGGGAAAGTGGGAATTGGAACCGGCTGCGGCCGCCTAACGCCACATGGGCTGCAGACAGAGCAGCGCATCGGGAGGGGGAAGGGAAGAGGAGCACGCGAGCCACCCCCACCGCCCTCTCCCTTTTGCAGGTCGCGTTTAGGAACCTGCCAAAAGCAATAGTTACGGTTTGCCCCAGATTAAGGGCTAGGTTTTGTTTCAGCAGATGGGCAGTCGGAAGAATAAGCCACCCGTTGCACCTCAAGGAATGAGTTTTCCTTCATCCTCTGCACCAGCCTGCTCGGGAGGTTCCCGGCACAGCAGCCAATGAAGGTGTAGCTCAGCATCTTCAGCTCCATGAGGCTCTTTGGATGCTCTGTTGAAATAAACTCAGTTTTTCAAAAATCTCTCTCAACAGTATCGAAACTCCAAGTGAAAGGAAAGTGTCAGAAAACATGCTGAAAAGCAAGGAGGCTATGTACCCGTCCATTCACTGCCTTGCTTTTCTTTCCTGTTGGCATGGGTTTTGTTTCCTAAGATACTGCCAGCGGGGTAAATGAGTGTGTATGGGCAGGAGGAAGTGAGTATGTATGCAAGCTGTTTAAAGCTGTCACATACAACAAGAGAAGGGAGATAATGCCCAAAATACCATGTTGGAAATCCCATAAATACTTTGGAAACTATGAACTTGTGCCCAACTGTATACATTTGAATACACTTACGGATCGTGCCTGTTCTCACACCAGAAACAAGGCTTCATATAGTGTTGGCTGTGTTTGTAGTGGCAGTATCAATGTGAGCAGATAGTGTGGTACAGGACTTTGTGTTGAGGCCTTGTTGCCCATGATTATGGAGAGGAACTACTTGGAGCTAACTCTGACTTAGTTCTTCCGTCTTGTGGTTGGAGGATAAAAAAGCATGCTCCAAATCTGCTCCAAGGATGAAGCAAAGTATTCTATGTGGAGACTGTCATCAGATTTGCTTCAAAAGCACAGTATCAGGCAGAAGAAATCTTGAAGAAAAGTCATGAATCAGTCAATGAACTATCTCTATGAGCATCTTGATTCTTAGCTCCTGTAGTTACATGAGGCTTTATGAAGGGGAATAATTTTGTAGTGGTTACTGTGTTGTGCTGCTGTGGGAAGTCATGTTTAGGACAGGAGAGGACATTTTAGATAACCTGGACAAATTCTGCAAAACAAGTGAGCAGCTATGAATTATCATGTGCTCTGTGGGAAAACCCAGTGTGAATAACAGTTTACTGGAATATAGTTATGGCAAGGTGGGTTGGTTAAAGGGAGTTTGAATTTAAAGCTAGAGAGGTGTGTGTTTTGTTGGTGTGTTTTGTTTTGTTTTGTGAGAAATGACAATTACAGCAGACAGTCTTGATAGTCTAGAAGAGTAAGCAAAAAATATCCTAACTGTACCCCAAAGTCTACCCAGAGGCAAAGATGCCATAGCATATTGCCATCAAAAATGAAAAATTTCTAGTTAAAAATAGTGGTGATCAGAGTTGTCAGATTCCAAATCCTGTTGACTCCTGAAATTTTTCTGCTATCTTGTCATCAAACAAGCATGTTCTTAGATATTTTATTTAGAATTGTAGAATTGTGTAGTAAATTGTTGCTGCATTGTTTTCTGGGGATAAGCAGAAGTTTATTTGTTGAGTTTCTGGCTTGACTGTACATGCTTCATTTTGAGCAGTATGATCAGTTAGGCATTTTTTTCCTACAGTGAGGCTAAGCAAGTTTCACAGGATGAATTTTTTGCTGTCCTTTTTTTCTTCTTTTTCTGTGTTACAAAAGATTTTCTTCCAGCATTTGTTCGTCATTCTGATGCCCATGGATAAGAATCCAGAGCTTTTAGCTCTTATTTACTGAATATGTATCGCTTGCCTGGCTTTTTCTTTTCACTGTCTATCATATCGAGTCTAATATTAAGGACAAAGTAGATCGTTCTCCTTGCTACAAAGACTGTATTTCTTTTCTCACTCTCAAAACTACTACAGTACTGGAGAAGACACCCTCTCTAAGTTTTGTTTAATTGCAAGTAAAGCATAATCAAGAAACAATTTTTTTTTTTCCTCCAACAAATTTGGTTAACTGTGGTGTGCTTTAAAAAGTGAAATTTGAAGAAACCATTCTGTATAACAGTATGCTTATTTTCAATTCCTTTGGGTTTCTTTTTTTGAACCACACTTGAAAGTTCAAGGGCAGTTTATGAACTGTCCTTCCTGTAGAAGCACTGTAAAACTTTTTCTGTTCGTGTGTCATTGCAAATACTTCAGATTTAAGTCAAATTATATCTTTTGCAGTGGCATTGCTTTTGATTTATGTATTCTAACACTTAGCCAACATTGTTGTTTTCACTGGGTTTTGGAGAATTGTGTGTGTCAGAATTTTTGTTGAAAAATCAGTGGTGATGCTTAGGAAGAAGAATCATCATGTTCTTGAAATTTCTCTGAAAATATCTTAAATCAGAAGCAGAATGCACAAATACACAGTGCTTTTATTCTGATTATTTTTTTTAATTCAGGTAGGAAATTATTATTCAAAGTACATTAGGAACACAGCTGTTCAGAAAAAAATGCCACATTTGTTTTCCTAGTTTGGAATAGAACTTTGTAACTGCAGTAGTTCTTGTTTCTTTATGCAAGCACACAGTAACATTTTAAATTTGTGATTGAGAAATAGTAATCATTTACCACAAACTGAAAAAATAATCTGACTATGAAAAACGGTTGGAAGATAACTACAAAAGCAGTATCTTTTTAAGTTTATCTCAAAGTACACCTTCATTATTAAAAATGAAAGCATGAGGACTTCTAAGAGGCATGAATAAATTGCAAAACCAGAAGTGCTCTCTTTCCTCTGATATATATCTATACCCGTGATGACTGTGAGAAAACTGACCTTAAATCAGGATTTCTTTCATGACTAAATAGTATCCATATGGTTGTTGTACCATAGACTTTGGGACTTTTTTGTTGTTTTGTTTCTAATTTTTGAGAGATGTTATCTGTGTACTGATTGGAGGGGCTGGTGGTTAAACATGGTGAATACGTATTTGTAGGAGGAATACAAAATGGAGTGAAAGGAGCAGCATAGCGTGCCCTATCCCAGCATATACTCGGAATGTGGCAGTACCCTTTAAAGAAGGAAGAATTGCTTTCTCTTGATTCTGTAACAGGAGAATACATGGTGTCAAACTGGTAAGTTTAAGGCCGATAGCTCATAAATTTGTGTAGTGATTGGGCATGATAATGACAGCTTTATCTCTCAGAAGAGCAATTTTCCATTAGGTCTGTTCAGTTCCACTGCCCACTAAACATCAAGGGTGTTCTCATCTGAATTTATGCAAAACATTTCTAGAAGTGTTAGCTTTAGACTTTGTTCCTTACTGAGCTGAGTGGCTTAACAACACAATTAAACAATTTGACTTAAGAGTCACAATTCTCATATAAAACAAGACAGAAAGCTTTTGTAAATTGGTATATGGAATGCACATGTTTTGTTGGTTACAATAAAAAAAGCCTAACTTGCAGTTATTTGACTTCCAATGTCACTGGAGATTGTGATATACATCCTAACTCAGTCGACATAAATACATAACCTGTGAATTTTCAGATGAAATGTAGAGGTGCAATCAAAATTTTTGATAATGTATCTTTACCATAAGCCCCATCTTAAAAGATAGAAATACCTTTCACTTCACAGCTACACTTTATTCATGTCATAACTCTTTGGCAGTACACACATTTGTGAACAGCCATTTTCAAGGATGAAACACAGGAACAGTAAAATTTAATCAAAAATCTCTGACAAACACCTTGGAAGCTCACAAAGAATGGCAACCACTGCCATCAAACTGGCCTGATGCGTTGGTTCCACAAAATCAAGGTCACGTATCCCACTAGTTTTATGGTTTTGTTGCTTACTTTCTTTTTATGTTTTAATTAAAAATAAAAAAAAATTTTGATGCTTATGTACATAGATTATACATTTTATGTATAATGCTCTGCTCTGAAAGTAATGCCTCCTATTTTATGATGTTGTCCAGTGATGTCAGAGGTGGATTTTGGTGTACAGCATCACAGATTGAACCTTCTAACCAATATTCCGTTATATGTTGTTGCCATGTGACAGATGGCAGCGGAGGGGCAGTCTGACAAAATAGCATCTGATACGGAAACAGAGGTGAAGCAAAGGTGTGGAATGGAATTCATTCATTTTAGAAAAAAATTGCTCCCACTGACATTCACTGGTGCTTGTTGAATGTTTCTGGAGACAAATAGTAGATGTCAGCACAGTAGGGCAGTGGTGATGCATTTCAGCAGTGGCAGTGGTGACAGTGCCAGCAGGTCCCCTCTGGTACAGATTGTTTCAAGCATGGTATGTAGGCTCTTGTTCATCCCTAGTGAAAATGCACAGTGAAAATCCCTAGTGAAAATGATGGAGACCACATTGAAAAAACAGAGTTTTGTAGCTAAGAATTTGATCTGTTAAGTAGTGTTATTGTGTGCTTTGTTTCTGTTGTAGTTTCCATTGAAATAATTAAAGGTATTCAGAGCAACCATTGTAGAAAAGCCCTAGAAAATTCATTTTCACTCAGTGCTGTCCAGGCAAGCCAAATTGGACATGGATTAAATCATTTTTTAAGTGGTCACCATTTAGGTACTATACTGTACATCAGTGCCAGTAATGCAAATACCATAGTGTAGGAAAACATGAGAATTCTAGTGATAAATATGGTAATATTTTTACCTTTAAAA